TAGTAAGTACAAACTTATCAGAAACAAATACAAGTTTAAAGCCATTCTTGCTTAACAGAGATCCAGAGACTAAGTTCTTGCGAATATCAGGCACATGGAGCACATCATTCAGTGTCACTATCTTGCCAGATGTCATTTTCAAAGCCACTTTGCCCACTCCTTCAATTTTTGAAGTAGACGAATTACCCATATAAAGTTTCTCATCATTATCAGTAGGAGTATAGGAGGAGAACATCCCCTTGTTTGAACAAACATGTCTGGTGGCACCAGTGTCCACCCACCATTCGTTGGAGTCTCCCATCAGATTGCACTCCATCACCATTGCTGCCAGATTCAGTTCTTCAACCTGATCAGCAATATCAACCATATTGGCTTGAGTGCTCTTCTTCTTCTTATTGAACTTTTGTGGCTTCCTCTGATCTTTCCTTTGTTCCTTCTTACAATCCTTTGCACGGTGGCCAGGATTCCCACAATTGAAGCAGTTACCTTTGAACTTTTTGCCCTTTCCTTGCTTAGCATTTCCATCTTCAGAATATTTCCTCTTCTTTGACTTTGATCCCTCTTCAACTACATTAGCTTTGGAGATCATAGGATTGTTGCCATTCCTCTTGTCAGACATCTTATTGTCTTCTTCTATTCTCAATCTGGTAACCAGATCTTCAAGTGTCAATTCCTTGCGCTTATGCTTCAGATAATTCTTGAAGTCTCTCCAAGAGTTTGGTAATTTCTCTATGAAAGCAGCAACTTGAAAAGACTCACTAAGAGACATTCCTTCCGCATGAATTTCATGCACAATCACTTGAAGTTCCTCAACTTGACTCACAACAGATTTGGAGTCTACCATCTTGAAGTCCAAGAATCTGCCAACTATGAATTTTTTCAAGGCAGCATCCTCAGTTTTATACTTCTTGTCCAGACTTTCCCAAAGTTCCTTACTAGTCTTCAGGGTACAGTACACATTATACAGTGAGTTGTCTAGAGCATTGAGAATATAGTTCCTGCAAAGGAAGTCAGAATGCTTAAAAGCATCAATGGCAGCAACCTTTTCCTTGTCAGACTCTTCTCCCTCTTTCAGTTTAGGAGCATCTTCCTTGAGGAAACGGTCTAGACTCAGAGTTGTCAAATAGAACAACATCTTCTGTTGCCAGCGTTTGAAATTTGTTCCATTCAGTTTTTCAGGCTTGTCAGCATGCATTGGAACAGAGGCAGTAACATTGGCATTGCTAGTACTTACATTAGCCATTTCTGTTACACAAACAGAATCCGAAATTAATCACACAGATTAATTTATCACACAATAAATAAAACAGAAACAGTATATATAACGAAAAATAAGTACTGATCACAGGTTCAAAAGCACCAAATTGTCTTAAGATTGTTATTGAAGACAGTGGGTGATATTATATCACTAATAGATTTGAACCCATGTATAAAGCAGAGGAGGTAGATGATCAGGATTATCACTGTGTAATTAAAGATATTAAAAACAGACTTACTTGTCAGTGGCAGAATGATGAAACAGACAGAATGAAAGGATGAATATATGCAGTATAAGAGGAATTAAATCCGAGCCCACAGAACGTGTCTCCTTAAGACAATTTGCCCCCTCACTGATGCCTAAGGTTGATGGACACTCGTCTCCCAGGATAGAACGGATTTCGTCTGAAGAATGGTGGCACTACCAATCAACAGCCCAAACGAACACAACAAAATGCCAGAGGAAGTCACACCGGAGGATGAACAACAGTATGCAAAACCGGAAGAAGAAAAATTCCGGCAGAGTTTAAGTGCAGGAAAAACTGGATAGATTTCTGAAGGTGTCAGTGTCTATTTATAGACACTGACCGGTCACGATGAACAGTCGCCGGCGGCGAACCGCCGTGTCTGATGGCGGCGAACGGGTGCGACCAGTGACTGTTCCGACGAACAGATACGACCGGTGACCGGTTCAGCGAGCAGACACAACCGGTGACTGGTTCACGAAGGGAAAGAACCGGTTCGGTTCAATACTGCTCAAAAAACCGGCGGGTAGAAACGTTTTTGGTTGGAGGGAAGCAACGGTAAATTTTTTTTGGACAAAATATTAAAAAATTATTTAATAAAAAATTATTTTTTTATTACACATTATGAACCGAGCCGAGCCGGCCGGCCGGCGGCGCGCGCGTATGGTGAACCAATGCTCACCTAGCTCTCCCCCCTACATAAAACATGTAGTGACCCAAGGGCCAATCTAAGAGAGGGAAGTGGGAGCTTATATACTCTCTCATTTCCTACTAATTGTCCAATGTGGGACTTGTTGAAACCCACACACCTCTTCATCTTCCCTTTTTCTCTTTTCTTTATTAACCCACTTCTTATTCATAACCAATGGATCATTGTACATTAATTCATTCATTAATTCCAACATTAACAACACCGCACCCACCTAACATCATGCTCGACGCTTGGCATTTGTTTACGAGGGAGTAACAAAACTACTATATTTATAAAAGTATGATGACGATATTTTTATAAAAAATTGTGCATTATTTGGTGAAAGGACTGACTTGCTCTGATATTTTATATAACTCCAAAATAATTACATTATTTTAAAAATATTTGATCACGACCCATCTTTAAAAAAATAAAATAATAAATACCAAATGTAAATCCAATGTAACCAACAATAAATAAGACAAGATCACAAATTATAAGATGACTCAATTTTAGGGAAAAAAAATTAATATAATGCTTTTTAAATAAAAAATTACAAATTTATAACTGTTTTGCAAATATTTACATATTTATTGCACAATATCACGCCCCATTTGGGCGTCACTTATCACGCCCAAATAGGACGTCACATCCTGGTGGGTCATGCCCAAACTAGGCGTGACATGTGATGCCCAAATGGGGCGTCACCCACCAAGGCTATATAAACCTCCCATTTTATCTTTTTTACCATTTCACACTCTCGCTCTAACCTCTCTTTAAGATCATTGTGCTCTCGACCTTACGTGGAATTTTCCGTAGCGAAGCTCTGCTAACATAAGTAAGTTTTTAATACCTGCTATGTATACGTTTAAATTACAGTGTTGCGTTACGAATATGTTAGGATTTAGCGTATATTAGTGATTTAGAAAATAGTGATAGTGACTTAGGAATCTTGTACCATATTATGAATGTTGTAGTGACTTAGGAATTTTTTAGTGACCTAGGTATTATTATTATTTAATTATGAACCGGTGTTTAGTGTATATTAGTGACTTAGAAAATAGTGATAGTGACTTAGGAATTTTGTACCATGTTATGAATGTTGTACTGACTTAGGAATTTTTTAGTGACTTAGGTACTATTATTATTAATTATGAATTAATTAGTGACTTAGGTATTAATATTATTTCATTACGAAATAATTAGTGTCCTAGGTATTATTATTATTATTTCATTGCTAATTAATAAGTGTACTGGGTATTAATATTATTTCATTACTTACTAATGAAGTAATTACCTAGGGTTTCTGCTTAATAATTTTGATAGTGAATTAGGGCTTTGCTTAATTAATTTGTAAATAAAATTTGTTGTTACATGTTCTAGGTAGTTGTTTTGTAAATTAGTTTCAATGTTGTTTTGTACATTTTTTTATCATGGCTAATTCATCATCATTTGGGAGTTTTGCATCCGATCACGAGCCAGAGCCTACAGATCCTAGCATGTATATCATACCTGGGCCGTATAGATGGGAGGTCCTTCGGAAGATGACGCAAAGTGCCCATACTTCACAGCGGGTGTGGAATACGGAACATGTTCGTCAGTTAAAGACCCGGCGTGGCAAGGTACAGGGGGGCCACCTGCCAGCGCTATTCCAGACGTGGTTACAGTTTAGGTATGCAACACATTCAGGTATGCACTTGACGAGGTTACAGTTTATATTGTTATTCAATACAATGACATAATGTGCGATAATTGTATAATGTATTTCAGATTGATGCCGTATTGATTAGTGCTCTAGTCGAGAGGTGGAGACCAGAGACACACCCATATTACCACCTTCATCTCCTTCTTAAGCACTAGCATCCTCGGCCATTGCGATATTTTCATTATCATCATCGTCGTCGTCGTTGTCGTGCATAACCCAAGTCGAATCATTTTTATCTCCCACAGAAATGTTAGCAACTGGAGAAGCATGAACGACAGACGTTGATGCAAGACGGGGAGAATTTAAAGCAACTGACCTCATTGGTAATGGTACATCCTCTGCTCCGGCAATTTCCACATACAACTCCAGAAAATCTTTCCTTGACTGGTTGAAAAATTCTTCCATTATCATCTCGACATCTTCATCGTCAACCACTTGCAAACTCATGTATTGATCAGATTGCCATAACCTTGTGGTGATCTGAGTGATACATTGGTTACCTTGAAGACTTAACTTCTGACGAACTCTCTGATGCAGTTCGTCAATGGTTGCGTTGCGTTGAATACGTGTCAACTTTTTTTCACCTTTAAACATGAACCTTGTCGACCTTCCACCTTCCTACTATTGTAATATAACACAACACGAACAGAATCAGAATGTGAACTCATTTTAAAATGGAATAACAAATAAAATAAAAGACTAAATTTAAGATAATAATTATGTATGTAAATGTAAGAATTGACGGTAGAGAAGAGATATAAAGAGTGCATAGTGGTAGGGGATTATATAGAATTTTTTGAGTCATTCACGACCTGAAGAGGCAGCATGACTGCATGTGTCACACCGAAACTGGACGTCACATATCACGTCCTATTTAGGCGTGAACCATGTGGGTATCACATCTAAATTGGGTGTAACTTGTGACATTGTGCTGCACATTAGTAAATATTTGTAAAATAGCTATAAATTTATAAATTTTTATTTAAAAACCATTATATTAATTTTTTTGCCCTCAATTTTATTAATTGAGTCTCCATATGATTTATTTCTACATAGCCAACGCCAAAGGGAAACGAAAATCACTTGTCACAATATTCAAAAAGCATAAACGATATGATAAGTGATAACCCCCAAAGAATGAAGTTGGATATTGTTCCAAACACCGTTACCTCCTCGACCTTGTTACCTTCCCTAATTTTCAACCTTCCCATCACACTTCCATTTTCTCAACCCCAAACGACATCTTCAGGTGCCCTCTCTCTCTCTCCTGTTTAGGTGTTTTGTGAATTATGTTATAGAATTATATGGATTACTAGTTTCCTTAGGTTGCGTTTGTCAGTCAGAGGAGAATTTTTTTTTATTCAGGAATTTCAATTTTCAGAAATATGATTTTTACGTATACTTAAAGATGATATTCATATAATTTAAAATTTAGAAAAAAATCAGTTTTCGGGAATCTCTAAAGTCACGTACCAAACGGAAGTTTGTGTCTTTTGAGGATATGTCTAAGACCCTGCCCTGTTCTAATTTAGTTAACACTGATACCTCGTGCTTCTTTTGTTCTTACCCTCTCTGGTTGATTGTTATTTACTTTTCTTTATTGCTTCTTATTATTCTGTGGAATCTATTTCTGCGTTATTATTACACTGAACAGTTTTGTATCTTCATGCGGGTGTTCTTTGTATGATGTGCAGGGAGAAAGAGCTTAATTTTTCGTTTGCAAAACATTGATCATCAAATTGAGCCAATACCTAGTCTTCTGATGGCATCAGAACTAGAATTTCCTGAACTGAACAGAAATCTTTACCCACATATAGAACCGTACAGTACAGGTTTTTTGAAGGTTTCAGATCTTCACACAATCTACTGGGAGCAATCAGGAAATCCGAGTGGGCATGTGAGTAGCGATTCTCTTCAATAACTGCTTAAGTATGATTTTTATATTTATTTATTTTTTTTTAAAAAATTCCTAAGCTATGCCGTAGGCTTACATGTTTATATTTGTTGATGAAGATTGGAATGGGAAGCAATGGACTATTATAGTATTATTTACTGATTCTATGTCGATTGTTTATTTATACAATTGAATGAAGTAATGAACTGTAATAATGTTAAATTGTTCCATTGAGCCTCTTATAGAATTGAAGGTAGTCACTTCCTAGACCATGTTGTTAAATGGAAACTTTTAGTTCTTCTGTTGTGGCTCATAAATTTAATGGGTACCTCCGGATGTTGAGAAAGGACCTCAATGGGGCATTGTGAAATATTCTACTTTCTCTAGTTCTTGTTAACAATTACTTTTATGCATTATTGGAATTTATGGGCATTGGGCTATTTGTGAATTCCTTAATCCGAATAGTTTGTTAAAATACATCTAAACTCCAGTACCCTTCAAAACAGAATAGAAAGCCAAAATGAGGAAACCAGAAATAGGAAGCCATTCGGTCTGTCGGTAGGTTTGCCTGCTGATAGTTACACTGGTTTGGCTTCTACTTGCAATCGACACTCTCATGATAGCTTCTGTTTGGGGAGGAAAAAGAAAAGCAAAAAGGTTTCTTTGGCCGACAATAGTAAAATGGTTTCTTAAGCCTATAGTGTATGGTTGGATCTAGGTTTTTTTTTTTTTTTTTGCTTTTCTCTTTCTTTTTTTCCTCTTTAAAAGCTAGATTCTATGCACTGACACTCTGGTTATTTTGCATTTCTTTAGCTTTGTTCAGGGGAAATAATTAAAATAAAAAAATTGATTCGTTATTTTCTAAGCATTTTTATGGCAGCCGGTTGTCTTCATACATGGAGGCCCTGGAGGGGGAACTTCCCCAAGTAATCGGAGATTTTTTGATCCCGACTTTTTCCGAATCATTCTATTTGATCAGGTTAGCTTCTAAACTGTAATGTGCAATGATGGTCTCCAGCTTTTGTGTACTGACATTTATTGTCTTTATCAGCGAGGTGCAGGGAAAAGTACCCCCCATGCTTGCTTAGAGCAAAACACCACATGGGACCTCATTGACGACATTGAAAAGCTACGAAAACACTTGGAGATTCCAGAATGGCAGGTCATCTTTCACCTTTGGTTGTTTACCATTATACATTTTGTGATTCTTATGTAATGGGATACGATCTTCTGCTCCATATAATATCCAGGTATTTGGTGGGTCATGGGGAAGCACACTTGCCCTTGCATACAGCCAATCTCACCCAAACAAGGTATATAACAGTGTTTTTATTCTGATTAGTTTCTTTTTGACTAAATCAAAATGATGTATTTTGCAGTACTACTGATGATTGTGTAATCCATAATTAAGGAGTTCTTTCCATGCTATGTTGTTCACTTTTTAAATAGCGTATCATTTTGTTACAAGGTTACTGGCATGATCCTCAGGGGAATTTGCCTTTTAAGGAAGAAAGAGCTTGATTGGTTTTACGAGGGTGGAGCTGCTGCAATATTCCCTGATGGTATAAAACATTCTTTTTATACGTTTGCTGGTGAATTAAGTTTGAATATTTTTCATGCATAGTAAGATTTTTCTTTTAAAGATTTGAAGAGGTTTTCAACTTATTAGATATATGGAATTATACCGGAGCTTTACAATATGTCAGATTCTTTGCATGTGAGAACTAAAATTGTTTCCAAAGTGGAATGTGAGAAGAGAAGCATTGTTTATGACAATTTCACTGTTTTTATTCTATATTTTTGTTAATTTGGTACTTTACATTGTAGCCTTGCATAATCTCGTATTTGATTTGATTGTGATCTTTTGCTTTTCTACTCATTAAAATCCTGATTAGTTTCCAAGGAGGAATGTGAGAAGAGAAGCATTGTTTATGACAACTTCAATGTTTTTATTTTATATTTTTGTTAATTTTTGGTATTTCTCATTGTAATTTGTAGCCTTGCATAATCTTGTATTTGATTTGATTGTGATCTTTGGCTTTTCTACTCGTTAAAATCCTGATTTAAGTAGTTGATAGTTTGTACCTTTTATTTCTTGTCAGCTTGGGAACCATTTAGAGATCTTATTCCAGAAAATGAAAGAGGATGCTTCATTGATGCCTATAAGAAGAGATTAAACTCTGATGATATCAAAACTCAGGTTTGTCCCAGTCTTGTTTCCTGTGCCCGGCTTCTACCTTTTCCTCCCATAATCATTATACAACTTTTTCTTAAATGTTATTTTGGGTTCAAAGCTATTGTTCCACCTTTCGACCTGAACTTTTCTTAGAATTGTACACAGAGTTGAAGATAATTGAACTAGTTTAGAAGTCTATCCTTAACAATACCAACAGGTCCTCCTATCTGAAATAAGGAATAACAAGCTTGTCTATGAGCTTGTTTTCTGACTGGATTATCTAGAGTAGTTTAGTTTACCCATGTCTTCATTTCAGTATGCAGCTGCCAGAGCATGGACCAAATGGGAAATGATGACTGCTCATCTTCTTCCAAATGAAGAGAACATCAAAAAAGGGGATGCTGATAACTTCTCACTAGTAAGTTCATGAAGTGAGGAATAACACGCTGTGATAGACCATTTTTAAATTCTCACAATATGTTGTGTGATTCCGTAGTAAGATTCTTATATGTTTTTATCAATTTCACTATATGTACTCATGAGAATGGTGTGTTGCTTGTATAGAATTTTGCAATTGAAACTTAATTCTCATAAAAGAATATTTAACAATATGGACATTTTTGTGTGTTTTAAATTTTTAGGTGCACAGACTTCACATATTTCTATTGCATGTGATATTGTACACAAATTATTTTTGTGGTCGTGAATTCTTCTCCCTAGGTTGACAACTAAAACTTCATAGCAGTGGTGACAAATGCAGGTTATTCTTCTCTGAAATGAGGAAAAGAAGTGGACAAACTGGGTGATTTTGTACCCTAAGCACTTCTGCATCTTAATGCTTAATTGAAGTTTTTTTTTTCTATCAAGTTTTAGCTGACCCAAAAAATTCTAGTCAGACTATTCCAAGTCTAATAAAGTTCTTTTAAAAATAAATAAATAAATAAATGCAAGTCTGCAATCTTTGCCCTTTGTAATTTATGATTTTGTATTGTTGTCTATGATTGAGATTCTTTAACTTGTACTGATCTGTAATGACAAATATTTTTCTACTAGGCATTTGCAAGGATTGAAAATCACTATTTCGTGAATAAGGGATTCTTCCCCTCAGATTCATTCCTGTTGGACAGAGTTGATAAAATAAGGCATATCAAAACCATAATCGTGCAGGTAAATAATTTTGTGCTGCCTCCTTTGAAATTCAGACTCTAAACGTGTCTTCATTCTTAACTTTGTAGGGAAGATACGACATGTGCTGTCCTATGATGTCAGCCTGGGATCTTCATAAAGCTTGGCCGGAGGCAGACTTTAGGGTAAGACTAGTGTTGCTTCTGGTCATTTTGTCTTGCGTAGGTTTATTCTGCATGCATGCTATGATATTTATCTATGAAGCTTCATGATAGATCTTGAGGGGCGTTTGGTAGAGGAGAATTTTTTTTTTATCCGGGAATCTCAATTTTCAAAAATACGATTTTTATATTCAGTTTACGATAATATCTTAAAATTTAAAATTTTAAAAAATTCAGTTTCTCGGGAATCCCCAAAAATCCCGCGTACCAAACGGGTTACACTTTTTTAAAAGTCACACACACTCTACAGACTTTTCTAAGAGAGCTCTAGAGTCTTTTCCGTACACCTTTTTCTTCTTATGAAAGAAACTTACACAAGCAGTTAGGCACAAAAAAAGTTTCCTTGTAAATTTGATTCCACCGAATCTTGTGCAAAACATGGTCAAGTTACCGATTCATAATGTGAAAACAGGTGGTTCCAGATGCGGGACATTCAGCCAATGAACCAGGCATAGCTGCTGAACTTGTGGCTGCAAATGAGAAATTTAAAAACATAATCAATTACAAAGGGGACTGAAGTGAGTAGACAAGCAAAGAAGGGAAAAAAGGCACAGTTGGAGACTAAACATATGCTGCATTTTTTATCCATAGCCAGTTTGTTGTCTGCAAGGAAATTTATTGCAAGTGACCGTGTATTTCAAAATTAGCACAGTCCCTAAACTTCCATAGTGTTGCCTTCATTATTGTCATAATATGCGCAAGAAAACCTAAGATATTGTAAAATTGATTGATCAGGTTTCTTGTTGGAAACCATTATCGAATTCAACCGTATTAAAAGAAAAAAGAAAAAGCCTCTCTTCGTTTCAATCTGATCATTGCAGTTTTAAGTTCATTCCTTCAATTATTATTATTGTACAACTTGAAACTCTATCTAGATTAAGAAGTGGACACTTTTGACTGCTTATTTTGCATTAATTGTTGTCTTTTGTACATAAAATAAAAAATAAAAAATTCATATTATATGATACTTTTTTTCTACACACTCAAAAATGTGTGTTAATTTTTTTTTTTGATACAGTGAAATCCACAATATTTGCATGTTTATGACATAATATAATAAATGTCATGCAACATTATATTTATAAAAACAAAAACAAAAATAAAAAATTGAAGGAATGGAATGGAATAAACTAAGTCGGAGACACGAACAAAATTTATCATAGCATAAATTGAGATACTTTAATAAGACTGAATTTATTTTATTGCAAAGTTACTTACAACTTTGTTTCTACTCAACGTAATTACAATTCAAAGTCTCACTCACTGATCTATGATCAATACTTACAAGTGTGAAATATTGTAATTTTTGTATATAAAAAAATTAAATTTAAAATTTATAAAATTTAAAACTCCATTCGTGAAATAATATTAAAAAAGTTTGTAACATCTTTAATAAATATCATAAATAATATTCCATTGAAAATGTTTTCCTTATAGCGTAGGGTTCTGAGAGGTTATAGGTCAAACATGATTTCTTTGCACAAATGTTAACAAGGGAGTTATAGTCACAATGAACAAGATAATAATTTATCTCTTTCCAAGCATACCTCAAAGTAATCAGAACCAGATCCTAAATCATAAGAACAATAACATGAGTTCTTTTCTTGATATTCACAAAACTGTCTCTATAATTTACACTTTTTAGTATATTTAATTTAAGAGTAAATTAAATATACTAAAAATTCACTTTCAATACAAGTTCATTTTTATAACGTTTTGTAATAATAGGCTTAGAAGTTAGAACCCACATCAAATCATATAAATTTATTTTCTAAGTGAAGTCTAATTAATTGAAAAGTGATGGAAAGATCAAGCAAATTTACTCACATGAATTATATCACAAACTCAAATCTTCCAATTCCCATAATAAGGTAGCACCGTCCAAATTGAATCCTTTGTTTGTCTTCTTGTCCATACTCTGCATACAAACAATTTTCATTCTCTGCATGTGAATCATTTTCTCTATGTGAAACCAAACCCAAAATTTCAACTTAGCTATAACACCTTTCTGGTATGTGTCATTGGCTCATCATTTCAATCTGATCTTTGCAGTTTTAAGTTCATTCCTTCAATTATTTGTTTGAACCATCTGGTATGTGGTTCAAACAACTTAAAAAATTGAAATGCTCATTGTTTGAACCATCTGCTCTGAGAAACCAAAAGAAGAATAGCTTGCAGCTTTGGAGCATATTTGTTGTAATAAAATTCTGGTTCCAATCAAATTATATTTTCTTTGGGGATTAGCTTGTAGCTTTGTAGTACGTGTACTCAACAAGCCAATGAAGGTTGCTAATTTTACATAAATCAAGTGAAAGTTTGCTTGCAATTTTAAGCTGGGCTAACAATACTGGATTCTATGTGCTGTCACTGCTCTGTTTAATAAAACTAATACGGAAACGAAAGCCCAACAACATGGCCTCCGAAAACTTGAAAATAGACACAGAATGTTAGTATGTTACCACTACACACACGTAAAAATTTTTATCAACACACGTAAAATTCATAACTTCCAAAAACAAAAACCAAAGTTAGCAAGCTGCCGTAATCAATAGCCTGAACCACCCACCCAACCACAAAAAACAAGGCTACCACCTTTCAAGAGCAAAAATACTTCAAACTCGGTTTTGCAGGGACCTTCCAAAAGGAAAGTCACCTTTCAAAAATAGGCGTATGCCACTTGTAGCGACGAGCACACGGTATTCTTTAGTAAAAGGCGAAAGAATAGTTCGCTTTGTGCTCAACGCATGGCTCCGTGAATTGACAAGTTGATAAGCCTATGTATTTATATTGCAGAGATAGCTGGTACTTCCATTTCTTTCCCAATGTGGGACTTAGTTAGTGGTGCTTCATCTCACATCTATTGTTGATCTAGTATATATACATGCAAACACTACTAAAAATATCATGCCATTTGACTGTGAAGCCACAAGGCTTATCTTATGAAATTGTTGCTAATATCATATTTGCTGCTTGATGCTGCTTATTCTATTTCCGTGCTTGAACTAAGACGAATTGCTTATTTTCCTCCGGCTTTCACCAATCTCAACCACATCAACTACAGATTAACAAGAATTTTAGACACTATTTGTTGCAGTCCTACTTATGACAAGATAACGTTATGGAAAATATTGGTGTCTAAAGTAATTAGCAATAAAATACCTGTATCATTATCTCCAAATGCTCCTTCAACTTCAGAGTTTGCAGAAGATGGATCTTCCTTTGTTTGTGTAATGTATATTGTAGCTCAAGCAAAACAACACTGCACCCACCTAACATCATGCTCGACACTTGGCATTTGTTTATGAGGGAGTGACAAAACTACTATATATTATAAAAGTATGATGATAATATTTTTATAAAAAATTGTGCATTATTTGGTGAATGGACTGACTTGCTCTGATATTTTATATAACTCCAAAATAATTACATTATTTTAAAAATATTTGATCACGACCCATCTTTTAAAAAAATAAAAATAAAAATTAATAAATACCAAATGTAAATCCAATGTAACCAACAATAAACAAGACAAGATCACAAATTATAAGATGACTCAATTTTATTAATTGAGTCTGCATATGATTTATTTCTACATTGCCAAGGCCGAAGGGAAATGAAAATCACTTGTCACAAAATTCATAAAGCATGAAATGATATGATAACCCCCAAAGAATGAAGTTGGGTATTGTTCCAAACACCCTTACCTCCTCAACCTTGTTACCTTCCCTAATTTTCAACCTTCCCATCACTCTTCCATTTTCTCAACTCCAAACGACATCTTCAGGTGCCCTCTCTCTCTCTCTCTCTCTCTCTCTCTCTCTCCTGTTTAGGTGTTTTGTGAATTATGTTATAGAATTATATGGATTACTAGTTTCCTTAAAAGTTTGTGTCTTCTGAGGATATGTCTAAGACCCTGCCCTGTTCTAATTTAGTTAACACTGATACCTCATGCTTCTTTTGTTCTTACCCTCTCTGGTTGATTGTTATTTACTTTTCTTTATTGCTTCTTATTATTCTGTGGAATCTATTTCTGCGTTATTATTACACTGAACAGTTTTGTATCTTCATGCGGGTGTTCTTTGTATGATGTGCAGGGAGAAAGAGCTTAATTTTTCGTGTGCAAAACATTGATCATCAAATTGAGCCAATACCTAGTCTTCTGATGGCATCAGAACTAGAATTTCCTGAACTGAACAGAAATCTTTACCCACATATAGAACCGTACAGTACAGGTTTTTTGAAGGTTTCAGATCTTCACACAATCTACTGGGAGCAATCAGGAAATCCGAGTGGGCATGTGAGTAGCGATTCTCTTCAATAACTGCTTAAGTATGATTTTTATATTTATTTTTATTTTTAAAAAAATTCCTAAGCTATGCCGTAGGCTTACATGTTTATATTTGTTGATGAAGATTGGAATGGGAAGCAATGGACTATTATAGTATTATTTACTGATTCTATGTCGATTGTTTATTTATACAATTGAATGAAGTAATGAACTGTAATAATGTTAAATTGTTCCATTGAGCCTCTTATAGAATTGAAGCTAGTCACTTCCTAGACCATGTTGTTAAATGGAAACTTTTAGTTCTTCTGTTGTGGCTCATAAATTTAATGGGTACCTCCGGATGTGGAGAAAGGACCTCAATTTTGTGTGGGGCATTGTGAAATATTCTACTTTCTCTAGTTCTTGTTAACAATTACTTTTATGGATTATTGGAAATTTATGGGCATTGGGCTATTTGTGAATTCCTTAATTCAAATAGTTTGTTAAAATACATCTAAACTCCAGTACCCTTCAAAACAGAATAGAAAGCCAAAATGAGGAAACCAGAAATAGGAAGCCATTCTGGTCTGTCGGTAGGTTTGCCTGGTGATAGTTACACTAGTTTGGCTTCTACTTGCAATCAACACTCTCATGATAGCTTCTGATTGGGGAGGAAAAAGAAAAAAGTAAAAAGAAAAGTAAAAAGGTTTCTTTGGCCAACAATAGTAAAAAGGTTTCTTAAGACTACAGTCTATGGTTGGATCTAGCTTTTTTTATTTTTATTTTTTTGCTTCTCTTTCTTTTTTACCTCTTTAAAAGCTAGATTCTATGCATTGACACTCTGGTTATTTTGCATTTCTTTATCTTTGTTCAGTGGAAATAATTAAAAAAAAAAAAAAAAAATTTGATTCATTATTTTCTAAGCATTTTTATGGCAGCCGGTTGTCTTCATACATGGAGGCCCTGGAGGGGGAACTTCCCCAAGTAATCGGAGATTTTTTGATCCCGACTTTTTCCGAATCATTCTATTTGATCAGGTTAGCTTCTAAACTGTGATGTGCAATGATGGTCTCCAGCTTTTGTGTACTGACAATTATTGTCTTTATCAGCGAGGTGCAGGGAAAAGCACCCCCCATGCTTGCTTAGAGCAAAACACCACATGGGACCTCATTGACGACATTGAAAAGCTACGAGAACAATTGGAGATTCCAGAATGGCAGGTTATCTTTCACCTTTGGTTGTTTACCATTATACATTTTGTGATTCTTATTAATGGGATATGATCTTCTGCTCCATATAATATGCAGGTATTTGGTGGGTCATGGGGAAGCACACTTGCCCTTGCATACAGCCAATCTCACCCAGACAAGGTATATAACAGTGTTTTTATTCTGATTAGTTTCTTTTTGACTATATCAAAATGATGTATTTTGCAGTACTACTGATGATTGTGTAATCCATAATTAAGGAGTTCTTTCCATGCTATGTTGTTCACTTTTTAAAATATCTTATCATTTTGTTACAAGGTTACTGGCATGATCCTCAGGGGAATT